CTGCTGACTTTTAGAAATCGAACAACTTTTAACTTCGTAAACTACTTGTGTTGACAAGGGTTATAAGTTACTCCAGCAATCTTCCCACATTCTCTACCTTTCTTACCAAGGTAACTGTGAACAGAAATGCACTTGGATGTTAGTATGTATGTATCATAACTTTGCAAATCAATTTCCTTAAAATCAAAATAGTGTGACTTCTATGTGCCAAACACAAACCCAACCAACCAAATCCATCTACTTCTTGATATTAGATGAAGGTTTGCTTAATATATACACTATAATTTCATTTGACATAGGAGAAAATTTTTGAGTTTGAAGAAGATAAGTTGGGTTTCCCCCACCTTTTCCTGCGCTGGTAATAAATATGATTTACTTACTGTAGTACTGAGCAGGGACAATCCATCGAAGTTCACAGCTTTAGAGCTCTCAGCGCAAACTTTTGCTGTAGATCAAATCCCAGAAAATTACTCTCTAGGACTTTCATCGCCTGAGGGTAGAATTTGATAAATCTCAGTTTATTCTTTCTCAGACTCTAACATCCAGGTTCTTTGTAAAAAAACTGTGGTTAGAGAATCTTTCCTTTTTGTGGAGAGAGAATTTTGCAGTGAGACTGCATGAGTAGACTGTAACTTTCTTCTGGCATGAAGTCTTCCTGGCCGATGTGGATCTGTGACAGCATGTATATACACTAAACTCTGTATTCACCTTGCAGATCTCTCAGTGATCCCACTGGGTAGACAGTCTTTGCATGGGTGACTATCCTTCTGAAAATCATTCTCATTGCAGTCATAGCAGGACCCATTCAGTGTCTGCATGGAAATGCTCTATCCATATCTTTTCATAGGGAGAAGAGAAGATCCACCACTTCTGCAACCCACAGGCAGAATAGATCAGGCGTGCTCATGCCATTAGGAAGAGAGCTCTGTGTCAGTTTTCTAGAGCTGAGAAGAGTTCTCAGCCCTGCTAGAGAATATATATACTAGAAAAGTAGAGAAAGAGCAGCATAGTGTGAAGATTCCTTTTCTCTTCTTGGGAAGTAGCCAATATCTGTGCTTTATTTTCTGTGCACTCTGATTACCCTGGGAGAATGGTTGAGTTGTGCATGATGATTGTCAGCAAATTCCTTATTCCACTGTTTTGGGGTTTTATTGTTTGTTTGTTTGGGTGGATGTTTTTAGGGGGGAAGAGGTGTATTGGGTTTGTCGGGGTTTTTTGTATGTTGTGGTTTTGGGGTTTGTTTGGGTTTTTTGTTTTGTTTTTAAGACTGTTGTATGCCGACATTCATTTGGAGTCCAATTCATGGAAGATGGAGCTAGCTTATGATATAACTGAGTCTCCTTTGCTCTCCCTCTTTTTTGAGGGGTAGCTGATGCAGAGCTTAGGGTCCTTGTACTACCCCCCACCTGTCCAAATTCATTATCTGTTACGGTACTAAAAAACTTTTGTCATTAGAACCTGCTCCTTTCTGCTTTTTATCAGCAACAGGAAAAGTTCTCTGTGATATGTGATCCAACAGTTAGGTCTCCCAGCTGTTTTTTCTGTAGACTGTTCTGCCATCTCATACCTCATTTTCCCTATCATTCTCTAATCTTCAGATGGTCCCCAGCACAGTTCGTACAGACAGCTGATAAATTCAAAAGCAAGGTTATCGTGAAGAGACTGAAGTCATTCAGTGAAGCGAATAGTAGTAAAGCCTAATCTGGTACTAAGAGGGGTTTCATGCTTGTTCTACTAGAGTAGACAGTAACTCTGGCCTCTCTGTGAAATAAGCACCTCATCTGTACTTCTCTCTGGAAGCTGCCTTGTTCTTACTCTTGCCAAACAAAGGAATCTGGTACAAACTATGGAATAGTGGTGCTGCAGTTTTATCTGGAAAATTCACAGCCCTGCACCTAGATGCTTGTGCAAATGTAGAGAAAGAGAGATTCCTCACCACTGTCTGGAGTTACTTGAGGTGCATAGTACATGTGTAACTTAGTTTCTGGCCTCTGAGCCATTCTCATCAGTCTTTCTAGGATTAATCTATGACTGGAATGCTGCATGTAAAAGAAGCCAAAACTGCTGCATCTTCTCTGTCTTACTTGTGGTACAGGCACAAGTGAGTGCAGATGTGTGTCATCTGCAGACATTGAGAAAGTCATTGATGTTTAGGCTGTAAAAATTCCAGATCCAGGGGCCTTTTATTTTGCTTGTTCTGAGGGGAAAAAAAAAACAAAAAACAAAACCCCAAAACCAAACCCAACAAAAAAACCCAAAAAACAAATGGAGGCTGGTAATCAGTTTCTGAAGAGTAGTGTTACTTGAATAGTATAATTTGATTTGATGTAGTATTTGATAACCTGGTTAAGCAAGCCTGCGTACCAAAACAATATAAACAATACGAGGTTTTGACCTGTAAAGATCTCTCTAAAATTTTGTTCAGTCTGTTGGGTTTCCTTGGGTTTCCTTTTAAATGCTGTAGGCTGTTGCTATTTCTTTGTTCACTCCTGCCATATGCATCTATTTGCCTGCTTAAATTTTTCATTAAAATTTTAGGACTGTTTTTGGATGAAGCTTTTGTTAGTATATACTGTATAATTAAGAAATGAGGGATTCTGTAGCAGTTTTTTTTCTGTGGCTTTGCTATAAATGGAACATAGCGATTAATATTTTGGATCACTTGAAAGGATTAAAATGAAGAACCGAGCCTCACCAAGAAACCTGGTGTATCTGATTAGTGTCTCGTGTACCATTCAGCTTTCTCTTCTTCAGTTGGCTGGGAATCACAGACAGAACCAGGGAAGTTGGTTACACTGTGATGACTTTAATTTTCTTTGGAATGACCAGGTGCTGTCAATAAGAGCTTAGATAAGAGTTGCCTTTTGCAGATCATATGCCTTGTATCTGGCATTTGTACTGACAGTGTTATTTGCAAACGTCAAGTACAGATTACTTCTCAGTAGTTCAATTTGCTGTTTCTTAAAGTACCTTGAAAATCCAACCTGTAGCATGAAGTGATTGTCTAAATGTTTTACTTCTGTGAGTGCCAAAATAGTATAAACATTTTTTGCTCCATTTCACTTTATTCAAAGGCTGAAGATGCTGTTTTCCAGGAGTTCTGTGAAGAAATTGGTATAGAAAATATTCGTGTGTATGAACAAGAACATGTGAGGCAACAAGAGGAGATTGATAAGAGAAGGTGGTATTTGTAATTGAAATGTAAAAAAGGTGGTTTGTATTAGATTGGGCGCATTGATAAATGAGTAACTGCATCACAGGAAATAGCACAAAAACCTAGAAGACTAAAAAGTTGTATTATTGCTGCAAAGATTAGTTAGCAGTTGCACTGCTATGGTTTGGGTTTATTGGACAGTTACAGGCAGTGACATTTTGCTACAAACTTGAATGGTAAAATTTACTATTTTGGTAGCACTTGTGTAGAAAAATAAAGCAAAGAATAGTTTTCTAAAATCCACATTGAAGAGTGGCTCTATCACAAATTGAGGATGACATGAAGGCTCACTCGTATCAAAAATCTGAAAGGAGAACTGGGTGTAAGGTGCAGTGATTTGGTATAGGAACATACTATTAAGGACAACAGAATCTTAATTTTCTCACAGGCGATCTCAACTGGTATTCCCTTCAAACAGGCACATGTCACAGGACCACAAATTTGTATCTTACAGAGTTAGAATGTTAAAATAAACTGTCTGCTTGTACTACAGGCGCTTTCAGGCAGATGATAGTTTGTGCATTTCCTGACATTATTTATAGAAAATACACCTTTTCTACATGACTAGTGTAATGGCTAGCACTGAACTCCATTTTCTTTTCAGCTATCTCTTCAGCTGCTAAGAGACTCTCTGACTGGTTTTCAGAAACTGGTCCAAATGTATGTTTTTGGCTAGGGCTGCAGTGAGGTAGTAGTGCAGTGCATTCAGTTGCAGGTAAAGCACCTGCTGGCTGAAGTAATTTGATCATTTATTTATGTTTGCAAGAACTGAAGTCTGGTGAAGTATAAGAAATTAGTAATAGAACAGTGAGAAGAGGAGCTTTTTGCATGGCCTTAAGCTACACTGCATATATGGCCTTGGCCTTGCTTGTGCCCTAACTTGCCATTATTAGTCCTGTAAGCCTGTGCTATGGCGCCTTCTTGCCCAGGTCTGAAGAGCCTGTAGCTGGTGTTGTGCCGACCCTTTTGTCTGAACAACAGATGCAGCACTAGTAGTAAATCATTTGGGAAGCTCAAAGCTCAGAGGCAGACAGTAACAGCTGAGAGTAACACCTTTCTGTAAACAGCTGCTTAGTTTTACTTCCGTCCTTTATCACAGCAGCATGTGAAGAAGTTTCTGCCATTGTACCCTTATAAACAAATACAGGTCTCCATTGAGAGATGGTAAGAAAGGCTGAATATGGCTTAAAAAGCTCTGGTCTCATGCTTCTTAATTGCCATCTCCCAACTGAGATAGGTTCCTTATAATGTTGAGATAAATGTACATGCCAGCTGACTAGGAGGCTTGCGGAGGCTGAGCAGGGAGCGCAGGCATTGGATAAATACACAGCATCAGTGTAGCTTTTGCCCAGCTTATATCTGCATCTTTTACAGGTATATCATTCATACTGAGGTACTTGAACTTTCCATATTGAATGTGGCCATACTGTATCTTTATATTGTATTTTTTGAACTATTATCACTGTATTTCTGTAACTTCCAGTATATCGACAGGATGTGGTGTAGTGGAATCAATGATCCAAATGTATGCAAATTTTTGTGTTCACGTAGAAGATACAAAAATGCTATCTAAATAGGCAAAGTGAAAATGTAGCTTACAATAATTTAAAGTCACAGTTACTAGCCTGCTTTGTAAGTGTTGGTTTGAAATACTGTACTTTGACTAGACTGGAGTTTGAAAATCAGAAGACAAGACTAAACATTCAGCTGGAATATAATCGTGATCATCTACAAAAATTAACAAACACAGTCAGCAAGTTGAGGGAGACCATTCATAAAGATGAAGCTGAGATTACCGGGCTACAGAAGGTAACTGTAAAATACATACACGTATATATCTGTATCTACCTCTGTCTGGGACTGAGAGGAAAGAATGCATTGAATTACAGTTTTGAATAAACATAGTTGATGTTATTGAGTAATTCTTCTAGGACTTAATTCACTGTTGACTTAGTAAATATTAAAAAAATGCAGTTGCATATTGTCATTTTAACTTGGAATAACCTGTCGTATTAGGGTACTTATTAATTATTTAAAATAAGCTTACTAAAAATTAAATTTGGGATTACTGTATGTACAGCGTTCTCTTGTGTTTAGTTTATAGGAAAAGGCAGCATATGACTACAGGTAAAACTAGTAGCATGTGGCTGAGATTCTTTGGAAGCTTTTATGAGTAATAGTAACAACTCTGGTGCTTTGCATCTTCAAGGTGCTTCACAGCCACTAATAGAATTAAAATAGTTCTATGAAAACTAATTTAGATTTTTAGTTGAAATAATATGTATGGATTCTTGCTTCGTAGTGTTCTTTATTCATAAGTAAATTTTTGTGTGTTAATGTTGCTTGTTAAATAAACTATGCTTGTGGTGCACTGGAAAGTGAAGGAGAAAAGATGTTGACGTCATGGTCAGTATATGAATGGTAGGCGTGATCCAGGAAGTACCTATCGCTACTTGGTTATCGGTCAGTGCGGGTGGTGAGCAATTGCATTGTGCATCACTAATTTTGTATATTTTATCATTATTATTATTATTTTCTCTTTTCTGTCCTATTAAACTGTCTTCATCTCAACCCACGAGTTTTTCTCACTCTCACCTTCTGATTCTCTCCCCGCCCCACTGGCAGGGGGAGTGAGCGAGCGGCTGCATGGTATTTGACTGCCTGCCAGGGAAACCATGACAGATGTGTAATAGTGCTTTGAATAAAAAAACAAAAGTGAAATGTAAAACTGCCCCAAAGTGGGCAAAAAACCCCACATGCATCACTTGAACTCTGTATTTTAACATTAGAAGACATGTATTTCTGATACTGAGGAAAACCAACAGACCCTTACTCAGTCCTGCACAAAAACATGTCTGACTTCATGCCTGTGTGCATAATTTTTCTGAAATATGACTTTGAGCAAATTCAGATATTTCGGTCCTGGAGAAGGATTGTTTATATTAAATTCTGAAGGTACTTTGTTCGGATACTGCAACAGCAGTAAGTCTTGATTAGGTTGCCATAACACTAGTCTCTTAAGGACCATGTCTTCATGCGTGTATCATTAGGTTTACTGTGTTCTACCACCTAATTTCTAGCAATTTACTAGTAGTGTGGGTTATATAGGGGAAGACTAGAGTATACCTCCACAGATTCTTTGTTCTCTGCGGATTACCTCAGGATTTATCTTTAATGAACAATACTTGTTATAGGATTTCAGGTTACCTTAGGTGTTGCTAAATGTGTGGCAGATACATCTATCTGGTACAGCAGATGGGATCCTTCTTGCGGGGCTAAGGGACTAACTGAGGAAAAGGGAGTAGCCTACAGATCATAGGCGTCCTAGGATCCCTGCCTTGCTTGCTGGCTTTATAGTTTAATCCGGTACAGTCACAAATCCGGAGCTGGCTGTGCCTGTGTATACAGAACATCTGCATCTTCCTGTGTGTAAGACAGGCTGTTTTCCCAGTGCCTTTCAGATTTTGTGCTGTAACACATTTGAATGTATTTTAACAGGTTTAAACTTTTAACTCTTTTTCTTTCTGTATAATAAAGGTTCCATATCAAGATTTTTGGTGAAAGGTTAAAAATGTAAATATTTCTATGCAGGATGAGGAAAAGCTTCTAAAAAAAGTGAATGAAATTGTGGAGGAGCAGCAACATCTTAAGGATAGATTAAGTGCTCATAAATCTGAGGTTATAAAAACCCAAAATGAAGTTGAAGAGTTCAGAAAGACTTTGTTAACTCTTAATAGGTAATTACTAATTGTACTCCTGGGAAAATGATTAATGTGGTAATACTTAGAAGAGTTTTAGTGATCAGATGTTTGAATTTCTCTTGTTCTCTTTTCTTGTGAAAGATTCATTACAGACATGGTGATTTGCATTTACAGTATGCATTAGTTAAAAACTGTTTCTAATCCAGTATGTGGTTCCCAAAAGTAATGTGAATGAGATTATTTCATGAGAGCCATCCCATAAACCATATAGAATAACATATCTTATTATCTACCTAGTGTTAGGTCTTGTTGTGATTTCTAATAAATATGTAATGACTTCTGATAAGTATGTATTAGCTTACAGCTTGATTGGGGGGGCATTTTAAGTTTGCTGGTAGTTTCATATTTTTGTTTTGAGTTGTACAGTTTGTTCAATTTTCTGATTTCAGTGTTCTCATTTTCTCTAGGCCTTTCAAGTGTTGGATACCTTAAACTAGTATTAATTTTAGGTCACTATTTAGTCCTAACTGTCCCCTAAGCAGTTGATTTAAAAGAACAGTATATACTTCAGTTTTCTTATGCTTGCTTATTATTGATGTGTTTAATGTCTCTTAATCAGGAGTCGTCTTTATGTTTTAAAAAACTGACATGTTGGCACAGTATGGTTAGGTAGACTTGTGGAATTTTGTATGAACTCATAGATTGTATGCCTAGTAATTCATTTTATAGTGTATAATTTTAACAATGTAAGACACATATGTGTCTGCCTTATTTAGCAACTTGGATTTTGTTGCAAAGAATCAAGGTGTATTTCAAGTAGAGTAATGATAAAAGATACTTGATTAAATTTTAAAAGGATCAAATCTCCATATATGTTCAGCAGAGCTGAACAGAAAAGCATTTAGTTGTAGTTAGGAAAGGTGGATATTTGAACATGCTCTAGTGTGAACTTGGCAATATACTGAAACTATGTCTGTGCTACTAGCATTTGCCTTGCCATAGAGTTAAGAGTTAATACAGAATAGCAGAGTGTTACCTTGCGTGCTAGAATAGTGTGTGGTTCCCAGCTCCCTCTTGAGTAATTTGGGAGAATGAAGGGGATGGAAGAAGTTAAGTACCGTTTTCCTTTATGTTTGATGGGGATTATAGAGGAAAAAGCCCCCTTTGTGCTTGGTGACTGGTTTTTATGCTGTATGGCTGTGGATGTTATTGGCAGCAATGCTTCTGCTTTTTAATTGTTTTGTGCCCTTTGTGTATGTAGGGAAGCTACAAAATTACAAAAGGAAGCTACAGCTATAGAAACTGCACTGGAAGAGAAAAGATTAAGACGACATAATATGCTTCTTGAATGCAAGGTGCAGGACGTGAAAATAAAGCTCCTGTCTGGATCACTGGATGACATCAGTGAAGTAGAGGTACTTAAAATGTTTACAGAAGATAGATATCACGGAGGAACAATTATTCAGTCTTGAATTTAAAGATATTTATTTTTTCCTTGCAGGACTGTTTGTCTTGCATAGTAATGTTAAAATAAATACACTGTTTTCATGTGTTTGGGCCTCAAGCGTTCAAGAGAAGGATTTTTGTTTATTTTTGTAGACAGAAATATTGTTTGCAAGTATTTTTGCTTGTGCTTGAAATGTATTCCTGTGAAATATGTAATATCGCTGTGGTACAAGAAAATTGGTATGAAGGAGTATTCTAGATACACATATGTAAGAGAGTCAATTCTGAAATGTAAATAAATATGGCATGTACGTGGATTGAGATAATATTTGGTTAATCATCTATAATATAAATGTTGTCTAAAATCATCCCTTTGTCTTTAGTAGATGTAGATATCCACAGAAATCAGGGATAGGCTAAAATAGAAATATTCTTGCTTTCAGAGGATTGATCCTCATTATTTTTCTCAGTCTTCCCTCTTTTTCCAGCGTATCTTCTGTGAGGAGAAACTAAACTTTCTCCACTGTTACAAAAGAAGAGCTGTGGGTTTTGAAGGACTTGTAACCAGTCTGTGGACTTGGAAGGAGTCTTGTTGAACCCATTCCATAGAAAAGTACTTTTGCTGGAGGATAGCTATGAATGAGTGGGTCAGAAGACAAAATGAAGGCAGTGAGGCAGGCAGTCTTTGAAGGGGAAGGACATGAACTGCTAATCATGAGTATGTCAGCAGCTCAGCTCTCGCTGTTTGTAAATAAGGAAGAGATGAAACCAGGGAGGTGGGCAGTAGGAATAACAACTTAGATTCCTAATTCATATCACTCAGAAGACCAGTAAGATGTGGTTCTGAGAAAGTCTTGGTAGGAAAGGGACTGATAATGACATGCAGCACGTGTTTCATTCAAGGGAAAGTAGCTGTTTGAAATCCAGGTCCAGAAGATGCTTAATGCCATATAGAATTGAAGCTACTAATTTCCTCTGAGGCCAACTGAGTGGACGAAACGCCTCGACTTACACACTTCAGAGCCTTTCCTTGAAAGAGGATTGAATTATCATGGGAACATAAATCTTTCCAATCAGGAGATTTATAGTATGCGTATTGTTCTAAATATATTACAAATAAACTACTGTTGCTTTCATCTTAGCTTCAAACTGAAATTAGCAGATATTTTCACTTCGTTTAAAAGGTGCGGTTTTTAATTAGATTCATAAGATCTTAACTAACTGTTAACTCCATTTTGGCTAGGAGAGGAGCCATGGAATAAGTTTGCCTCATACCGTGTTACCACTGGCTCCTCATTTTATATCCTTTTAATGTATTGTTTTAGCAGTTTAAAAGTTAACTGTCATATTTCTGAACTGGAATGTCCTTCATGTTTATAGCTAGGAACTGAAACAGAAGGCACTCAGACTACATCAAGTATCTATGAAAGGGAGGAGGCAATTCAGATAGACTACAGCAGCCTAGCAGAAGACCTGAAGGTAATCTTTTTTGTTTGAAATTATTAGAGATCGAGTTTTTTATTTTTACTTAAAATATTTTATTTGTTGAAATTATTTATTCTTCACCCAGGTCTTTAAATGAAACTTACTAAAAACACTGTTAAGCGTAAGTGCATGTGTGTGGGTTTTGGTTTTGCAGTCATACATAGCGCTAATGTATGGGATTTCTGGATAGGTCAATTTCCCATATAAATAAATTTAATTTAAAGCTTACCTAAACCATAAAAATAGAATGGAGAAATAGTAAATACAACTCTGATTTTTCCTTCCTCCTTTACCTTCTGCCTTTAAGTTCCAACACTACAGGTTATTACTCAAAACTGTAGAAACCAATGATTGGCTGCCAGGGGCCTTGTACAACCTTCTCTCTGTAGTATTTTCAGAGACTGAGTCTTACCATACTTCCCTCTGTAACGGTCCATTAGGTCATGTTTTCTCAGAAGTTTTTTGTAATTTTTTTTTTTCCTTTTTAATCATAAGGAAAATAATTAAATGTCAGAGGCTAGGTACAGAGCAAGGGATGAATCTGTCATCAGTGGAACTTGTCTCGAAGAATTCATCAAGAACCTGTTTCAAAGGTTTTCTTTACAAATCGATTAGTGAAGCCAGCTAATCCTCCTCCTGTGTTGTATTTTAACCCAGACTTCTAGGGAATTTGTTGTCTGTTTTTAAAGGCCTTGTGGAACAATGCTTAGGACCTAGTAAATTTATTCTGAGAACTAAGTCTCTGAGTGGAGGTTTTTGGTTTGTTGTGTTTCCAGTTAAAACTATTCGATGAGTGGGGTACTTCTTCCAGAAACCATGAGTGCTTGCCATATATGTTGAAATGCCTTGGCTTAAAAGCAAATTTTATTGCTCTGGTATTTTTATATTTTTCTTTAGGACCTAGAGTCTCATAAAGATATAGAGGATCATCTGAACCAGATGCAGCAGGAAATAAAATCTAAAGAGAGTACTTTAATGAAGACAGCTGCTCCAAACCTGAGAGCAGTAGAGAAATTACAGATAGCTCGGGACAAGTTCCAAGAATCAATAGATGGTAACACTGAGTCTTTCATACAAATCTTTTGTTACTGTGGGAGTTTTCACCCTAGTTGAAATTCCCCTTTCTGGGGTTGGTCCTGCTGGCTTTGCTTCTTTCAGATACTAAGGTATTTTTTGTGCTTAAGTGTTTATCCTCATTTGTGTTTTTAATTGTATGTAAACAATTTATTAACATATACCTTACTCTGCAGTAGTTTATTGAAATACAGTTTGAACGATTGGAAAGATACTTTGTTGGCCAAATGACATTGTAAAGTATTTTTACTTATTTTCTAAAAATTACTGACTTTAATGATAAGATTCTTTAAATTTTTCTTAAATAATTGAAGGAATATATATATATATATTCCAGAACTCAGACATGGAGTATTACTGCAAAATTATTGGTATCCTCAAAGAGCATTGATACTAAGAAAACCAAGGAGTTCTGAAGCTGTAACAGGTAAAGGCTGGTACTGCTTAAGGCTACCCAGCTTACAGAAGGAATTAGGAGAAGAATTTTATTCATTGCTCCAGATGAATGTGGCATAGAGCAGGTTGAATACATCCCAACTTTTCAGTTTTTGGGCCTCCATTTGAAATGTGGAAGGAAACTCATAATATTGGTGTGCTCCTTGTATGTGCATTAGAACAAATGCAACAAATACTTTCCTTGATGCTTGTTATGGTACACAATATATATTTGTTCTGTGTATTTGCTTAGAGGCTTATTATGGAGTAATTTCAGTAATTTTTTCCATAGCTTTTGAGACCAGCAGAAAGGAGGCCAGAACACGCAAGCAAGAATTTGAACAGGTGAAAAAAAGGAGATATGAGCTTTTTAGCCGGTGCTTTGAGCATGCCTCGGTAGCTATTGATCAGATCTACAAGAAACTTTGCAGAAACACTAGCGCTCAGGTGTGTCATGTTCCTAGGTGCTTAGCTTAAAAGGCCTACTTGATGCTTTGTTATCTAGAATAAGAGAACTTAGTAACACTTCTAGTTTCCAAAACAGTTTCAGTCCTGAAGAAGAAAATGACACAAATAATAAAGACTTCAGAATTTTAGGGTCGGAGGAGGAATACATAATATGCCAAAGCATGCTTGACATTAGACAGAGAAATGTGATCTAAAGTGTTAACAAAATAGGGAACTACTCAGTTTGGGTTAGTTTTACTCTTTGTATTTAGCAGACTTGTAAATTATCATGACACAAATGTGAAATATATTCGAATACTTCATTTTAAAATAACGTTGGTTTACAGATCTAGTGATACCGATAATAAGTAATTGAAAACACTTAATCATTGGTATAGATTAAAAATCATAAATCACTATTGCAGTGCTAGTGTTTTGTGTGAGGTTTTGAAGCTCCTTATACCCCGCTTAAATAAATATTAGTATGTTCACAACGTTTAAGAAACCTGTAGAAACATTGTGTCACAAAAAATTGTATTAATCTTTGCTAGTGTTCCAATATTAATGCTGAAAGTAAAGAGGAAACTCCCAAATGCTTTGTTTACATCAAATTCTGTACATGGTTGGATGTTTAAAGGGCTCAGGCTTGAATTCGTATCTCTCTTAAACGTCAGATTTTGTGTTTTCCCTCAGAGTCAGATGTTCAGTGAACACCTTAAATATCTTGAAATATATCCTTTCTGCTTCCAGGCTGGTCAGGATAATAAAGCATTTCTTTCTTCATGATTACTGGGCACATACCTTCTCCCCTAGACTAAACATCAGGCAGGTCTTGACTTTGCATCGTTCTGAAAAAAACTGGTATTTTCCAGATGCATTGCCAAAATAATTAGTTGGGTGCTTTCTTTCTGAGGTCTGCGATGCTGTGCCTTGATTTGAGCTATAGTGGTAACCTGGTCAAGAGATTATCCTGTGATTAGCTGAGAAGCTGAAACTGCCTACTAGATACTAACATAGCAGCTGAAGGAAGCTGGTCTAATTGCATTGGAAGAGAGATGATTGCTCTGTGTGTGGTGATTACTCTGGTTAGCTAAGGGAAGAGTTAGCTCCAAGTTCTGCCATCAGAGGAGGTGGCCTGCGTTGCAGCTTGAACAGATGCTTTTTAAGCAGCCTTAGCAATTTTTAACATGAAAATTTCTTAAAATTAATGTTTCTTAATATTATTCTATTAATAACATTCATTAATAATGCTTTACTGTTCAGTCCAAAAAAGAGAAGCTTTGATAGATTGAGTTAGTTAAACTTCCAGAGATTCTGGACTCAGAACATTTGTGCACTGAATGTATTGCTCAGTAAAATTTATTTCATCAGCATGTTGTGTGGTAGAAGTACTTTAAAAGAAACTACTGCCTAAGAAATTGTACGCAGATTCACTGCTGAGTTCGCCACCAGTTCTCTTCCATTCCTATTCTGTGGAGAGAGAAATGTCGTTCCTTTCAAATCTTCATGAGCAAGGAATGTATGTGCCCTAGTAAGCTACAAGATGACTTTTGTTAACAGTGTCCATATATGTGAAAACTTCCTCTTGCATAGATACATGCAATGGCATAGAACTGGGAGTTGCATTGCAAGATATTTGACACGTTTACGGCCTGAAGAACACTGTAATAACAATGTCAGGCATTCTCTCAGCAGAGAAAAAGAGGAAAATACGCATACCTCCAACAAGGCAAAGATACTGCAAGCACTATATCTTACTTCCAGGACTATTTACCACAGAAATTATTTTAAATCAAAGTACATGTAGTGTTTTGTTTTGTTTTTATTCCACTGTCTCTAAGATCCGAGAGGAGCCATTTGAAATGAGTGTCAGCTATGGAAATTTTGCTTTTTATCTGTATCTACTTGTGCAGAGGGGAAGAGACTGTATTATTTTATTGTCTCTTCTATTTAATGGGAAAAATAAACCATGTAGCAATTAGCTTGTCCATCATACTTTTTAATGGTTTGGTAAAATGGCCATTGCTTTAAAATAATACGTTTAAGTTTTGGACCTGGGAACCAGGATACAAAGTATAGAGAAAGCCTATGTATATTAAAATCTTTCTCCAGCTCAAAGCTAGATTTTTGTAAAACCAACCTTTCACAAGATACAAATTACACTCAGGTAATTTTGGAAGTATATTTACTTCCAAACAAAAAAGGAAACTGCTTTTGAAGTCTAAAATTTTAATCATTAAAAAAAAATTAAAGCAATTACATAAAAGGTGATAAAATCAAGTTTATTTAGTAGTTGAAAGTTTTTGTAAATAACAAATATGTGGAGCCATTTCCAAAATGGTTTAGTTAATTAGCCTTCTAGCTCCTGGTTTGTTATTAAAGGCATATTCACTGGGAAATTTTATAGTGCTGCTCTTCAGTATACATGAACAAGTGTTTCCTACAAATGAAGCTAACTTACCAGTTTCAACACTAGCTCAGTCGTATTTAAACCTAAAAAATATCCATCTTAATAATTTTATAAATGTCATTATTAATAATGAAATGTATGCGTTTCCAGGCATTCCTTAGTCCTGAAAATCCTGAGGAGCCTTATCTGGAAGGCATTGGCTTTAACTGCGTGGCTCCGGGAAAACGCTTTATGCCAATGGACAGTTTGTCAGGAGGTGAAAAATCTGTGGCAGCTCTGGCTCTTGTGTTTGCTATACACAGGTAAAAGAAATACGATATTATCCAAGTATGTGGCTGAGTAAGTGGCAGGAAGATAGACAGTGTTACACTTACAAACATGTTAAAAAAAATCTTCTAATAGAGTATTCAAACATTGCTAAAGACCTGTCATTACTTCTTATCAAAATTTTATGATAGAGTAAGTGAATCTCTAAAGTAATTACAATGTTTATTAACATTTTTGCATTTAAATGCAACATACTGTCTTGTCTTCTACAGTTTTCGGCCAGCACCTTTTTTTATTTTAGATGAGATAGATGCTGCCCTGGATAACACAAACATTGATAAAGTAAGTTGGTCCCTTTCACCTTATCCTTTCATCGACAATATAATGATATCTTTTGTAGAAGGATGGCTACTTTTCATCAAAGGTTGTTGGGATAAAGAGATTGATTACACTGCCTTAACCTGTTTTAAAATATATTGGGTTTAGGACTGAAATAATGGTTGTATGAGATGTTAGACTAGAGCTAGGTTTAAATTCATAAATCTAAGTGTGTTTTAATCAGTCCCCAAACTGTGAAGTTGAGAAAAATAGGTCAGGAGTGTGGAAGTATACCGCATGACCACGTGTGGTACAATCTGACATGAAGGTCACTTGTGAATTGCTGGTTGGGTTGGTTTGGTTGGAATTTTTAAGGCCTTTTAAGGCTCTTACACTCCTTTCTGCTTCTTGGAGGTATCTGCATGTTGAAAATCAAGTCATTCTGTCACTGGAGTATTTATTTTATATAATTGGCCTACTAAATATTTTTATATTAACACCAATTAAGGGCTATCACTCCCATTGTTTTAGTCACATGAATTCTTCCTTGATTAAAATAGCTTCCTGTCCTCCTCTAAGTTTCATTTTGCTAATAACTATTCACTGTAACAAAAACTTACGATAGAATACAAACAGTAAAGATTGCCAACTGTAGATGTCAGCCTCTGGGAGGAGGAGACAATGCAAGGAGATTGTATGTAGGAGAGGAATCAAAAAGATCTCCACATGTGCCTGGATTTTCTTCTATCTTCCACAGAAAGTAAGATCAAGCTGTATTTCTACTTGCATTAATAGTGATGTCAGTCTTGGTAGAGCCTAACAAATAAAAGCAGTTTTATAAACACCAAACTTTTTTTTTCTTCCCCCCCGCCCTCCCCCTTCCTAATGGAGTTAACTGTGATGTGCCAAGTACACCAGCGTTTGCTTGGAGGGTACCTCTATAGTAGACAGCTGGGGAAGCTCCACTACTTGTGCCTGCCGGATAGAATTCCTTCTTGGAGATTACTGACTCCGCGTAGCACTGTGAGAAGTGTTTTCCTGAACCCGAGTTCCTTAAACAGTCCTTGGGATACAAGTCCATGAGGAATACCCATCATCCATACTTCTGAGCAGATGATATGCCCTGAGTTTAACTCGGTCCAGTGTGTTTCAGCCACACCAGATTAGAGGTATTGGGACTGTAATGAAAATAACAAAGCAAGCTTTAGGGCTTGGCTCTCAGTGACATGATTAGAAAGAAGATTACATATCAAGTGATCACAAACACCTCTGTGATCTAAGGTTTTTAACAGGATACTTTCCTAGTTAGTAGTCTTTCACTCAGGACCACTATGAGTTGACATAACAGTTGAAGATCATGTATTCTGGTTAAATACCAGTATTGTGTTTTCTGGATGTTATTTTTAATTCTGGAGTCAAATGTATCATGGCTGATGACTTAGAGTTACACAGGCTGCCTCCAAGTTTTCCTTTACTGTCTTTCTTGTCTGCTATTACATTATTTAATGCTAAACCTCATGTTTTTGCCTTTCATCAAAGCTGCAGTGTATTAGGTGATTAGCACTTCCTATCTCTGCAGACTTCTGAGGTGGTCTTTTGGATATGAATGTAAAATTCTCCATGGTTCTGTCTGGAGCTGGGCAGGGGTCTCAGATCATGTCTAACAAAATTGCGGGTCATTACCTGGATGACTTCAGTTTATCCACGTAAGTTCCTGTTGCAGTTACAGATGCAGCAGTTGCCAATTATGTACACATTCCATGAAGTTCATGATTTCTAGTATGTTATCAACTTTCCATAGAGACTACAAATGATGCATTAACATAGTTGATGAGAAACACAGTAATGAGGCACTTTGCAGTTTGCCTTTCTGAGTAGGCTCATTCTGACACATCTGGCAGGAGAGATGTCCAGTTTATACCTAAGAATATGCTAAGCACCATACTTCTTCAGAACACTGGGTTTCTCAATTCAAACATATTTCAAATCTGGTTTACTTTTCTTCAGATAAAAATCACATTCATAGCCCACAAAAGACTGTCATATTAACAGTTGTTAGCCAAATGGTTCCTAGGCTTATAACCTTCAGTTGGTAGTATTTTTACAGTTTGAAAGTACTGTATTTCATTTGATGCATCAGCAGCAATAATGTATGTTTTTAAGATGTGTATTCAAGAAAAGGAAGAACATTAATGCAGAAAGTTTAAGTATTGTAAGTTCTGGTCTAATGTATGTTAATAAAAATAACATCCATAAATACCACTTTATGGCCCAAGAGCTATTAAACCTGGATTATATCAGGGTTAACCCTGAAATTGCCTTTGGAGTCTACATTAAGCCTTTAGTTGAGTCCTTGGGGCCCATCTAATCTGACTGGGAAGTTACGCTGAAGTAACTTCCTGCTTTGAAGTTGAAGTGGGCTTCTGCCCGTCTTGTAACCTTCATGGCTGGAGATGCCCATCTCCCGTAAGGCTGTGGCATACCGGCTGCATAGCCCCTGTCCAGAATGTCCTGTTGGGCTTACTGGCCTTCCGCAGTCCTTTTCCTGCCTGCTGCTCCCGTAACAAGATGCAGCGTGGAGGGGTTGGGGCAGGATTACTAAAAGGGCTGCTCTTGTCACGTAGGCAACATGAAGCAGGCAACTTGCGATACAGGCTGTGATGTACAATATGCTTGGAGAGCAGCTGCCCATGTAATGCAGGAAGAGGGTGACAAAATAGTGGTTTCCTAGAAAATTCCTTTAATTGGCTTCAACATCTATCTAGGTATTGTTATAAGGAGAGTTAGATTATTCTTTAAGCATGTGTGAAAAGTGTCTTAAATTGCAGAATAAGCAAAAGCAAAATTGCAGTGATCTGCAAGTACATAATTCACTTAATGTTTCCCTGCTCCCAGGGTCTTTCATATCTCTTTCCTTACCTGTAAGATGCAGTTGTTACTGGAAAGCACCAAAACCTTCAGACAGAGGAATTAACTACTGCAAGTGAGCAAAAATTGTATGTGGAAAATTGTGTGTTGCTAATACTCACTGGTATCCAGGTTTTATGCTTAGAACTAAGTCTTTTTCTTTCCATTCTTTCAGTTTAAGGATTTACTAAAGCAAATCTCCAGTAATTTACTTATAATTATACTGTAAGATGAATGTGAAATATGTAACTCACTAAAGGCAGTTCTTCCATTAAAAGAAGACTTCAATTATCACGTAGATACAACTGTGCAGACAAAAGTCTAATTAAAATGTACTGGTTTTCCTTTATTCAGCATTTAATTTATATTGTGGGATACTGCCTTATTGAGTCACCAATTTGTAACTTAATATTTGCACCTTTATTTTGCAGATTATTGAAAAAAATGTTGCTGTCTGCCGCGAACTAATACGTATTTAAGATCTTAGTATACAGCCAGTAACAACCTTTTCACACTTTTTTTCCTTATTCAGGAACTTCCAGCTTCCTTTGTAGTTATATTAAGTACAATATTTTTTATTGGCACTGGCCTTTTTGTATAACTTTATTCATTGGAGTGAATTTTCTTAGGTATTCAGAAAGCAGCAAACCTGAGGGGTTGTCTTAAGAACATGCAAAGTATCTGTCTTAAGACAGTTTTATTTCTCATTTTATCTTGCTTATTTCATAACTGAATTACTGAATGCTGCAGCTAACATCGTTCAGTTCTTTCCTCATCATTCCCTAATTATAGCATGGTTTAAGTCTGCCAGAACTAACTTACTGAAATATTTGGCTTTTTTCCAAAGGTATCAAGTTTCATTAGAGAGCAGGCACATGAACAGTTTCAAATGATAGTTATTTCTCTAAAGGAAGAGTTTTATTCCAAAGCAGACGCATTGATTGGAGTGTGTCCAGAGGTAACAATTAATTATTACCAAATTTTGTTAAATAACACACGCTGTTTTTTCTTGAAGTACTGATTTACACCGTAAGGGTTACTACAGTGAATCATGTACATAACTGTGTTGCTGGGTTTGAAGTACTTTGTGTTCAGAAGTGCGTGCAGGTACTGGCTTGATGAAAAGATCATTTTGGTAACTTAAGCTCATTGTTGTATCTCATAGTCATTTATGAAATGCTTATTTCAAATAACAGAAATGTTTTAAATTGTATGATCCTCCCTCTTCTCAGCATGATGACTTTATGTTCAGTCGAGTACTGACTTTGGATCTTACCGAGTATCCAGACGGTGATGACCAGGAAAGAACAGAGAAGTACAAACGCAGTTCTGTGTCAGAATGAAGCATGGACGATTTCAGGGCCAGCTGACAACAGCAAGAGCTGTGTTTACAGCTGGCTGTTACAAATCTGAGTTTGAGTGTGGCTATTAGAGGTTCATGGAGAAATGTTTACCTTTCAAACAAAGCAGTTTGCTAAAATACTGAAGTAACTGTTACTCATTGATACAGTTTTGTTAACAAGTAAGAGATAGCCAGAGGTTGTGGCTGAAGTGCATACATTCTGGTATGCAGAGCTTTCTCTTCAAATGATTTGGGGTTTTTTTGCCTTAAGATGAAGGATTACAGGTTCACATAAGCACACTATTACAAAGAATAAGCCTCTTGCTTTTTTTATGAAAAGTAATGGGTTCAGCCATATCTCCAGTAGAGTGTTTAGATGCATGCTGCCACTGGTTAAGACCTTTACAATCTCTCTTGCTTGTGTTGCAGCTGCATGTATTTGCCTTCAGATAGGATTATTTCCTGCTTTTTAAAATGAGATACTGGAATCTGTCCATTATCTTGTGACTTTTGTGATGCCCACTTAAGACTTCAGTCTTCCACTGCGACCTTATGAAAATATTAGTTAACTTTACAAAAGCTCATGATACATCTCTATTAGTGTGATGTAACCTGGAAAAATTTCACCTTTGAGGTATTCTAACCCACACAAAAGTGGAAAGAATAAACCAGGTTCGAGTCAGATGCCATACAGATAGCAGGCCTTAGAAAAAAGTATATTGGTTTGCAGTTGAGATTACTGGGACAGCTATGTAATAACGAAGTCAAGTTTATTTTGATGGCCATGCTTCATTTAAGAAGCAAAGTTAATGAAGTTAGTTACAGAACAGCTTGAGAGAGCTTGAAACAGTTCATCTGGCTTATGTTTCACCTCGGTGTATGCTGAAGAGCTTTATTTGGTTTATGGTTGTTCATAATAATAATTATATCTTCTTATGTTCATATACTAGCTTCCTTTTGTCCACCATGCTGCTTACACACATCTACCTTGTAATGTGTGGCTTACACTGTGCTTGTTGCACACAACTGATGTCTGGAGATGCAGGGTTACTGCATAAGGAAGGACTGACGTGAGCAGTAGATAATACATAACAACATAAATGTGTTCACTTATACTGTAGACAGATGTTTATCAAATACTTATGTTGCTGCCACACCTTAATAAATAACATTATTTACTCTGAGTGTAAGTCATGAGTTAGCATCAGTCCCTTAATTCAGAATCCATTGACAGATGTGGAAATACTTACAGTAGTGTGAAGGATGAATAGAAGAGCAGCCTCTACTGATTTTCAAAGATCTTTGACCCACATCAGTTTTGTTTTGTGTTTTTTTAACCATTTGCTAGGAACAGTTGGTTGAAATAGAAAAATACAGTAAAGAATTGAACAGTCTGAAGAATAGTGAAAGCTACACATTTTAGGTACTGTACAAGAATGGTCTATTTGGCTTTAAATATTTTATTAAAAGAGTTTATGCCATTATTGGAGATGTCCAGGATAACAGGATAATAAATAGTCAACAAGGTTGTTTTCAGTAAGTATCTTACTCCCATTTTAAAAAAAAAAGTAGAAAAAGACACATCTACAGTAGAATTGGCAAATACCCTTTAACATGCCAATTTGTATGGTTAGTTCTTTCGTGGTACTTGGGTAATAATTTGAACAGGGCCTTAAACAAGTTACTCTTTCACTTAACAGATAAATGGAACAGACAAGTTTCAGGTTCTGTCCCTTTTGACTGCATTTTAAACCCTGAGGTAGCTGCAAGGCAATCCCATCCCTATAGATGACTAAAATATATGCGGGGGCGGGGCAAAACAAAACCAAAGGTAGGCATTTCTACATTCTTACTGTGTATGTTAGGAATTAAAATAACCCCTTACTGACTCATCTGCTTTTCAGGACACAAATAAATGGCACATAGAATCATTAAGGTTGGAAAAGAC